CCGCCCTGTGGGGCAGCTGGGCTGGCTCGCCCAGAAAGCTTCCAACCCCAATGTCTTGTGGTCACCTTGACCATCTCACACCGCGGCTTCCTCTACCCAGAAAAAGGCCATCATGCGACAGCAGGGCATGCCCTTCTCCCCTGCCCCCTCTCCCGGTGCCCTGCCTGCAGGCAGGTGAACAGGCACCCAAGCACACCGTTAGGAGCCAGGGCCATCATGCGACAGCAGGGCATGCCCTTCTCCCCTGTCCCCTCTCCCGGTGCCCTGCCTGCGGGCAGGTGAACAGAGTCACCCAAGCACACCGTTAGGAGCCACGACCAGAACTTTGCTTCAAGCCAGACCCACAAAGGAACTGGAGGCTGGCGGTGTGCTGGGGGAGGGGAGGCCAGGAGCACCCGGAGCAGGTCCTGTACCTCCGCCACCTCTCGTCCGCCAGGCAGTCTTAGCCAGTATCGCCAAAGCCTCCTACCCTCTTCCTGAGGGCAGGGAGCTTTCTGAGATGCCAATCTGAGCACATCACTCAGCTGCTCCCAGCACCCAAGTGCCCCACCCCCTGCCCAGCCCACTGAGATGCCAATCTGAGCACATCACTCAGCTGCTCCCCCCACCCCCTGCCCAGACCGTGGAGCCTGCTATTTAAAGAGCCACAGTCTGGCCTCAGACCACAGTCACTGCCCATGCCCTTCCCAGGCCCCAGCTCCAGAGGAAATCACTTGCTGTTACACTTGCCGGGCCCTGCCCCTCCCCCAGCTCAGGTCTGTCTCCTGCGTGCCGGCCTGCCAGTCCTTCTTGGTTCAACACCTTCAGGAATGGCCCTCCTCTCTCTGGCTCTCTGAACGCTTAGGTGAGCCTCTCTTACAGTCTGGGTCATGGTACTTTTTCAGTCTGTACATACCACGTATCTCCCCTGGACCAAGCATGCCCCAGAGAGGAGCACATGCCTGACCCAGCCCGCCGCTGGGTGGACCCCCACTCACCCCAACAGGAAAACCCAGAAGATGAGATGGAAGCACAGCCTAGGAAGAGCTGCCAGGAGACAAAGGAGTCAGCCAAGCAGCTCCAGGGCAGAAACGGGATCGGGTCGAGGCCGCAGGCAGAAAGGTGGATGCAGGGACCCAAGGAAGGACTTCATGTTGTCTCAGCCGTGCATGGTCTGCCTCTGAGCTCGGGAGCCCAGAACTAGGATGATCAAGCAGAAAGCAGGTGACCCCGTGGCCCCAGTGTCGAAGGACCTTTGGCTCCCAGGAGAATCCCACTGGATCCCCTTAGGGATCTCCTGGCCTTAGAACCCACATTCCTCACTCCATCACCCTGTCCCCCTCCTCCAGCCAAAGGGCACCCCTGCCCTGGGCTTGCAGAGCTTCTGGGTGAGAACCCCACCTCCCTGGACGGGGCTAGATGGAGGCTGGGAAAGCTGCCCCGGCCGAGTAAGGGGAGGAAGGAGCTCGTGTGCACGGTCCCCTGACCCCACCACGCACAGAGCCCTGCGTCTCAGCTTTGTCAATCTCCCCAAGCCCAGCAACAGCTCTGAGGTGTAACTTATTCTCCCCTTTCAGAGGGAACTCAGCGAAGACAGTTAGTACACACCCACTCCACCAAGGTCACGTGTACCCACTCCACACAGGTCTCATGTACCCACTCCACCAAGGTCATGTGTACCCACTCCACCAAGGTCACGTGTACCCACTCAACACAGGTCACATGTACCAACTCCACCAAGATCATGTGTACCCACTCCACCAAGGTCATGTGTACCCACTCCACCAAGGTCACGTGTACCCACTCAACACAGGTCACATGTACCAACTCCACCAAGATCATGTGTACCCACTCCACCAAGGTCATGTGTACCCACTCCACCAAGGTCACGTGTACCCACTCAACACAGGTCACATGTACCAACTCCACCAAGATCATGTGTACCCACTCCACCAAGGTCATGTGTACCCACTCCACCAAGGTCTCATGTACCCACTCCATCAAGGTCACGTGTACCCACTCCATGCAGGTCACGTGTACCCACCCCAAGGTCACATGTACCCACTCCACCCAGGTCATATGTACCCACTCTAAGGTCACGTGTACCCACCCCAAGGTCACATGTACCCACTCCACCCAGGTTACGTGTACCCACTCCAACCAGGTCACGTGCACCCACTCCACCAAGGTCATGCGTACCCACCCCAAGGTCACATGTACCCACTCCACCCAGGTCACATCACCTAGAACTGGACGTCTAAGCCGGCTCTCTTATTTCTGTTGTCACTTTGATTTTTTAGATTGCAAACCCCTTCTGCCTCTGATGCTTCTCCAATGCCCCTTTGACCACTGACCCTTTGTTTCAGTCAATAGGTATTAACATAGCTCTCCACAGGCCTGATGGTGCAAGTTAGGGAACCAGGCTGTTCCCAAGGCCCTCTCCTGCCATCTGCTGGCCATTTGCCACAAGCCCGTGGGAATCTACAAAGACCATGATCAGAATGAAACCCCCCCCAAAAATAACAAGCTATTTCATTGAGCGACTGTGATGTGCGTGGGATCAATTAGCCTACTAAATCCTCATAATCATTATGTTCAAGAGGGACAATGAGGAAACTGAGGCCAGAGGGATGAGTGACTCAGCTATTAACTAGCAAATGCGAGGCTGAACTGCAGGATCTGACCTAGGCCACCGCGGCCGTTGGTTTATTTGTTTTGCTTACGTTCCCTGTACCTCAGTTTCCTCTCCTGGAAAATGAGGTTGACATGCTACTTTCACTTGGAATGTTGTGATCATTAAATAAGTTAATAAATGCTAAGTGCTGAAAACAGGGCAGGATACACAGTGAAAATTAAATAAATGAACATTTGCCTGTAACACACACACACGCACCACACACTAATATATACACATACCATACACACACACCACACTATAACACACACACACATACCATGCACATCACACCCACCACACCCACACATACACACCACATACAAAACATACCAACACATATGCATATCACATACACCACACACACATACTGTAGTCTAACACTATTAAATAAATGAACATTTGCCTGTAACACACACACACATGCATACCACACACTAATATATACACATACCATACACACTCACCACACTCTAACACACACACACATACCATACACATCACACCCACCACATACACACCACATACAAAACATACCAACACACATGCATATCACATACACCACACACACATACTATAGTCTAACACTCACATACCACATACACCACATGCATGCATAACAAATATAATACACATATCACATACCACACACAACACACACCTATGCATATCACACACAACACATGTGCATGCACGCACACACGCGCACGCACACACACGCACACACACACCACATGCATGCATAACAAATATAATACACATATCACATACAACACACAACACACACCTATGCATATCACACACATGTGCATGCACGCACACACACCACTCACATACACTGGTACACAGTGGAAACCAGGAAACTGCTCACCACCTGCAGCCAGAAACCTCACGTTTGCTCCTTCACATTCTGGCGAGTGTGTGTCCTGTGAGCACAACACCAGCCTCGTTTTCCTCCCTGCAAAATGGGGCGTGCAGAGTTCACTGTGTGCAGGGATGCTATGAGGAGTCGGGACATGTGTGACCATCGTGTGTAAACCAGTGAGTGCAGGTGGTGCTGACACGCATCCCTAGCTCCTCACCTGGGCTGATCCTGCAGAGGACAGAGACACTGTCCCCACCTCTCGAGCACAGGGCTCCATCAACGAGACAACCTGGGTGCCTGGTGCCTCCCCGCCCTTCCTAGGTCAAGGCACCCCCTCCCGTCTCCCTGCAGCACCGCCACCTCCCCCAGAAGTGAGGGTGGAGGTGCTGGCAGCCTAAGGCCTAAGCAAGGGGCTCCATACTTCGTGGGGGGCAGCCCTTCTGCCCAGACAAAGGGCTGGGGTCACCCAGGGGCGGGAGCTCACACAGCATCTCCACCTGGGATGAGGGGAGGCCTCAGGCCCAGGGAAGCAGCCCGCCCAGGCGCCGCAGACCAAGGGCCATTCAGCCAATGTTGGCAACCCCAGCTGCCTCTTTGAGTTTCAGAAGAGCGGGGAGGACACGGTGGCAAACACCACAGTGGAAACACCGGGCTACGTCACCTGAGCCCAGAGAGACATGCAGGTGCAAGAAGTATGATCGATTAGGCCCAGAAAGAGGTCTGACCCGGGGCCACCGTGGTCCGGGCAGGCCTGGGAGCTCTGAGTGCCGCCCGTGACCTGTTTCATCAGCCAGTGGCTGGGGTCGGAGCCGTGGCTGGGGCAGTGAAGCTGTTAGAGCAGGGCGTCCCCGGAGGAGATGACGGTGAGCCAGCAAGTCTGCAAAGGTGGCTCCAAGGCAAAGTGCACCCTGGGAAAAGGGAGGTTAAGTGTCCGAGCACCAACTGCCAGGAAAGGGCAAGAGAGAGATGGGGCTGAGGGGCATCTGTGTCAGGGCTTGATCGGCCCTGGGGCCGAGCCGTGAGTGTGAGGCAGCTGCCAAACCAGCAAGGGAAATGGAGCCACGGGACAGCAAGAGCAGGCGGGTCCCCCCGGGCCACGCACTGACACTCAGACACAGCACCCCTGGCACGGGCCTGCGGGCGGCCAGGGCCCTTGGCACCAGGACACAGGCGGGACGGCAACAGCAGAGCGGAAGTCCTGGCGTCGTGGCTGTCCCTGGGGCACCTGGGTGGGTGGCGTCTGTGCTCTGGGGAGACTGCACTGCACACCTCTGGGGCTCTGCCTGAAGCCACCCTGGTTTCCGAGACGAGTCAGGAGGCTCCTGCTCTCTCCATCTTCCCAGCTGCTCGTCTCTGTGCCGCATGGGAAGAGCCTCCCCGGCTCTCGGTCCCAGGGACAGCCTGGCTCCTGGCCACGGCGCCCTGCTCAGGGCAGGGCTGTGGCGGGAGCACCTGGGCCACTGTCCCCTCCTCTCCCCTCAGTGTTGATCGGCGTGGGCACCGAGACCTTCCTCCAGGGGCACTTCAAGAGCCTGGCCTTCTACCTGCTGTGAGTACGCACGTGCTCTCCCCGGGGCGTGTTTGCTTTCTCCTCCAATAAACACGGAGCAGCTCCGCCTGAGTCCATCCTGTCCCAGAGGTGGAAGGGCTAGAGGGCGCCTTAGAGTATCCTCTGCTTTGGAAAGGGCTGTAATCAAACCATCCCATCAACCAACCAATTACCCTCCCATCATCCATCCATCTATTCCCATGGCCGCCTATCCACCCATTCATCTCTTCAGGAATTTTTAGGGAGCAAACATTAACTGAGCTCTTGTTTTAGAGAGAGGGGGGTCTCAGAGGACTATACACTTGCGCCACCTTCCTGCCAAGCGGCTAAAGGTTTTCTGTACACGGTGTCCTTTAGCTCAGGCAGCCGGAGAAGTGACCAGTGCTGGTTTTGCAGATGAGAAATTCAGTGGGAGTCAGCAGCTCAGCCACATCACCAAGCTCATGAGCAGCCTCTGTCCTTTCTTCTCTGCCCGCTGTCCCTGCAAATGCCCCTGGCAGGGGGAGCACTGTGCAGTTAGTCCCTGAGGGGGAGGGAAGCCTAGCACCCCTGCAGCTCTGACCGCCAGCTCCCAGCAGCCCCTCCCAAGAGGAGCCCAGCATGCCTGTGGGGTCAGCAGGATGCCTCCTCTGCCCCCACATTCCCCTCCATGTCCAAGCTCAGCATGTGGCCTCGTCGGCATCCTAAGGAGCCCCCCTGCCTCAGACAAGCTCTCCGGTGCGCGAGGTGCTTTCTTCTCTGCCCGCTGTCCCTGCAAATGCCCCTGGCAGGGGGAGAACACTGTGCAGTGAGTCCCCGAGGGGGGGGAAGCCTAGCATCCCTGCAGCTCTGACCACCAGCTCCCAGCAGCCCCTCTTGACGGGAGCCCAGCATGCCTGTGGGGTCAGCAGGATGCCTCCTCTGCCCCCACTCTCCCTTCCATGTCGGCATCCTAAGGAGCCCCCCTGCCTCAGACAATCTCTCCGGTGCGCGAGGTAGGTCACGTCCACCATCTCCCAGCCAGGCCACGACCCCGCAGTGCATGTGCACACTGCCACCATGTCAGCCGCCTGGACACACAGGTCCCTTTGGCGACTTTCATGGCTGCCACAGCCTCCAGGCCACACTTCTTTGTCATCCCTCACCTCCACCTTATTTCTAGTCACTGGGTTTACACCCCAAGCGGTTCTCTTTCCCAACTCACCCACCTCACCTCTGAGCCTTTGCTCATCCCGTCAGGTACCCAGGGTGCCTTTCCACCCACTTCACCTGAGTCCCAGGTTCCTTCCTGGCATCCGGCGCTGAGACCCCTGCCCATGCCGGGACCCCCACTGGCTGGGAGTGACCTCCTGTTCCGAAGGTCCCCGGGTCCTACTGAGTGTCCCAGCCACTGTGCACAGTCTCCCTAGGAGTCCATGGAACACTTAACACTAAGCCTTTCCCAGAGTGGGCCGGGCTGCATGGAAGAATTAGAGCCTACCAGACAGGGGGAGAAAGGAGGAGTCCTTGCAAGAGGGGCCGGCCTGTGCAAAGGCCCTGGGGCACCTAGCAGCTTCCTGTGTAGTCAGAGTATGTGGACGGGCTTTAAAAGGTGTGCTAAGGAAATTCAATCCTATCGGCCAGGGAGACTCTCCAATAAGAAATGTGGGTCCCATTCCCGAAGATTGTGATGCCTGGCCCAGGAATCGATGACTTTACATATTCCCAGGAAATTCTGATTGAGGGTCTCCGGACCACAACTGGAGCATGAGGAGGCTTTGAAGAATCCTAGCCTGGGAAGAGTATGATCAGATTCAGGTGTCAGAAGGAGCCCTTGGGCAGCTGGTGTGACCACATGGAGGAGCAGGTGAGGGCCAGGCAGCCGGGAGACCAAAAGGGGAAAGTGGTGCAGGTGCCTGGGGGCAAGGCCCAAACGCAGGCTCCCCGGTGAGGCCAGAGAGAACGGACGGATGCTGAGATGATTTCAGGACACAGTCAGCCCGTCCCGGCAACCTTGTGCGTGATGAGCAAAGTGGGAGAAGAAAAGGCTCCGGAACGGGTGCAGCTTTAAGCCTCTCGGTCGGGCAGGGGGTGTCCGTCCTGGTGACAGTAGGCAGAACGTCTGCCAGTGTCCCCCACGGTGCTGGGTCGAGGTGGCCCCTCCTGCTGGCCTGCAGCTCCCTCCTCACCTGTCTGTGGGCCCCAGGCCCCAACCCCTCCACCACCACAGCCCAACCTCATGCCGGCCCCGGCATCAAGACCCACCGGGGGGACGCTGGCTGGGTGACAGGATGAGGTTGAGAAGCTTCTGGTCAGGAGGCCAAGGCGCGGCGAGAAGACGACCGCAGGAAGGTGAAGGGAGAGCCGGAGGAGGCCCAGCCTCCCTCACCTGTCTCCACGCAGGTTCACGGGAGCCACCGTCGCCGTGTGCGAAGGGGCCTACTTCGTGGCTCAGCTGCTGGCCATCTGCTTCCAGTGAGTAGCTCCCACCGCCCAGGGATCCTTGCAACTTCTGGGGGCAGGTGAGGGAGGAGCCCTAGGCTTGCCGGGCATTTTACCAGTCCTGGAGGGCTCCACCCCAACTAGGACCTGGGCACAAAAGAATGACCACCAGGGGGAACCAAAGAGCCATGGCAGTGGGTGTGGAAGAGGCCACGTCTGGGCCAACACACCATCCGCCAGTCCAGCTGCTCCCCAGAGCCAGCCTGCCAGGAAGAGATGTGAGATCCCTGCTCCAAGTCAGTCTAGAGGGCGAAGGAGCTGGGCCTAAGGGCAGGTGCTTTTCTCCTTTGAACCTGGAGGCAGCAGCCCTGAAGGAATCAGGCGGGTGTGGACTCTGCATGCCTGTCAGGAAGCCCCTCTGGGCCCGTGTCATCTACGCCCAAGCAAGACCCTAAGCAGCCAGGCCCCTCGCGCAGGGCATGCTCCGCACAACCGCCCCGCCCGTGTCCCCCACACTGCACTCTGCTCCGCTTTGCTGTGGGCCCCCAGCGGACCCCTGAGGGGGAAGGGGCACAGCGAGACCCCTCACTGAGGACTCCCACCGTGGTGTCTGCAGAGAGCATGGCCTCAGCAGAGCCTCCCACAGCCTCGAGAGTTGCTGGGCTTTCCCGAGTTACTGCCTGCTCCCTGCTCACCCCCGGCTCCTTCCTCCCAGGTGTCAGCCAGGGTCCCTGGCCGCCAGAGCGAGGGAGAAGGCCCGCTGGCTGGGTTGCTTCCAGAAGTTCCTGGCCTACCTGCTGCTGTCCGTGGCCTGCTTCCTCCACCCCGTCCTGGTCTGGCATGTGACCATCCCAGGTAGGACTCCAGGGGGAGTGGAGGCAGGCCGCCCACACGGGGAGGCTCTGAGCACGAGGGCTGTGTCCTCCTCACTCAGCCTGCGGTGACGTGGCCCCAGGGCCCTGAGCCCACTGCCCTCTCTGGCCCAGGCCGTGGGGATGAGGACCTGTCAGACCTGATTCAGCGGCAGGAATGTGCCGGAAGTGCATCCTTCGTGTAGGCGTCCAGAGGCTGCACCCCAACGGACGTGGCCTTTCTGTCGAAGCCTGTGTGTGGACTGAGCTTTCAGAGGGTGACAGTCATTTCTCTGCCCAGACCCATCCTGTCTCCCAGTGCCCTGACTCAGGCCACACCCTCGGCCTGAGGTGGGAGCACAGCAGGAAGGGACCGAAGACCCTCACAGCCGCAGCACGTCCTGCTCCTCAGGCCCTGGGTCAGCGGCTTCTGGTTGCAAAGGCAGGAGTCTCCCACCTCCCACCTCCCGGGTTCTGTTCATGGCTTTTCTGCTAACACCCTCCTCTTGACCCACCTAAAATCCAGAAAGCAAACCTCCCAGGGAGACAAGACTGAAGGCAGAGCCTCCTTTCCTTCCTGCAGTCCCTGTCATAGCCCTCAGAGCCCCCCTCAACCCCCACCCCCACCCACGGCCTCTGTGGACGCCTGAGCAGGACACAGCCCTGCAGAGCTAGAGCAAGCCATGGCCTCCAGCCCCTGGGAAAGCAAGAGAGGCCCAGGAGGCTCTGGCCCCGGAGGCAGGACTGGGTCCCCGCTTCCTCTGCACAGGGCAGGGGTCCCAGCAGGGAACCCAGAGTAGCAGGTCCCAGCCTGGGACAGAGGGTCCTCTGCCTGGAGGCCTTGGGCGGGGCCAGGAAGGGGAGATGCTACACCGGCCCTACCCAAGGAGTCTGCACTTGCTTCTGTTTGCTGGGGAGGCTACAGTGAAGGCGGGCTCCCGCTTCTGGGACGGGAAGTCCAGTTCAGCAGGTGGGGCCTGGTATCCAACATAGAACCCGGACCCACTGGCAGGGTCCAGGTCCAGCTCCAATAAGCTGTAGTGAGAGAGGCTGAGTGCGGCGATGGAGGCTGCTCCGGCAGCACCAGGGGGGCTGTCACCAGGAAGGGAGCCTCAGGCACAGGGTCCCCTAGCTCACGGGCAGGGGCAGGGCCCCAGCACGGCATCAGGCCGCCCCCAGGCCTGCTGTGGTGTGAGGGGAAGTGAGGTGTGAGGGCTGGAGCACAGCAGCCTGAGTGGCCACACCGGTTTGTGTCGTGGCCTTCGGGAACCATGGGCTTGGGCAGCCTCAGGCTTCTCTCCAGGACACTTCCAGCACCCTGACCGCCCAGCTCTCTTCCAGGCTCCATGCTGGTCCTCACTGGCCTGGCCTACTTCCTGCTCAGCAAGCGGAAGAAGAGCAGGGCCACGCCCGCGGTGCTGGCCACCCAGGAGCAGTACACGGACCCCTCCAGCAGCGCCAGGAGCACCACCGGCTCCGGGGACACCGAGCAAACCTACACCTTCCACGGAGCCCTCGGGCCGGGGCCCGGCTCCCTCCTCGACCACATGAGGTGCATCCTGAAGGGGCCCAGGAAGCCCAGCGCCCCCCAGCGCCCGGAGGCCCCCACCGAGCTGACTCTGGAGCCTGCTGCCTCGCTGGCCGCGAAGAAGCAGGTGCGCTTTGAAGAAAGTGCGGCCAGGATCATCCCCGCCCTCGCCGCCGGCCTGGACAGCGAGGACAGCGAGCCGGAGCCGGAGGAAGCCAGCTCGGACACCACCCCCATCATCCCTCCCCCGCAAGCTCCATCCTTCCTGTCTTCTCTCTCGGGCAGCAGCCTCTTCTGAGCTGCGGGCTCCAGCCTGGGAGACGCTCGGCAAGGGGTCTGCGCGGACTGATGGCCCTGCCTGGAGCTCTCTCACAGCGTGGCCCTCGGGGAGCCCGGTCTTCATAGGCCGGCTCTTCAAGGGGTGACCAGGCATCCTCTGCTGGGCCCCCGGGGCCATCGAGTGACATGAGAGGTCCCTCAACAGCCTTAAGGGGGTGCAAACGAAGCCATGTTGGCTCGAGCTGGCATAGGTCCTTTCTCCTGGACATGGAGTGAGGAAATCCTTGTGCTTTCCCCCAAAGAGACCATCGCTCCCGCTTCCCACAGGCTGCCTCAGCCTCAGGAGAAGCCGCCGGGCTCCTGCTGCTCCGGACACAGCGCCCAGCACTCAGCAAGCCCCCGGGCTCATCACCCAGCTCTGAAGGCCAAGGATGTGCCGGCAGCTTAGCCATGTCCACAGGCAGGTATCGAAGGCACCATGAGCCCCAGCCCTGAACTGAGATTGGGGGATGGGGAGGGAAGGCCAGGCCGCAGGCCCTCGAGGCAGAGAGCAGTGCCCAGCAGCGGCCTGCGTCCTCTGTGCTCTGGGCTGGTGCTGGGCGCAGGCGTCACAGAGCCTCTCCAGTAAACAGCCGGCCAGGTGGCAGTGCTCACTCCAAGCACACCGCTGCGGGCTCTCTGCATGGCCACCACACCAACCTTGCCAAGGCCCCAAGTAGACGGTGTGAACAAAAAGATCCTGGAAGCCATCGACAGCTTCCGCAGTGAATGCCTCAGCAGCAGGCAGCGCCCGCTGCACACAAGGGCCAGAGGCTGTGCCCTGAGACGCGCACAGCACAAAGAAGTGGCTCTGCCACACGGAGGTGCCTGGCAGCAGAATAGAGGGTAGAGACAGGTTTAAAAGAGGAGGGGAGCGGGATGGCAGGAAAGTGAGCAGGCAGACCAGCTCTCTGCAAGCAAGCCATGGAAGTGACAGTTAACCCAGATGGAGCAAAGACATTAACCAGATAGTCCTTAGTTAAGGATTTGCAATACGGCTTTCATTTCTAAAAAGTGTCCTTGGGTCCATGAGATTGTTGCAAGGAGAGCAAACACACTCTTCTTCATGGACCATCTCAATTAACGAGCAACCCAGAGAGACTGGTAATGGCTCCCGAGTTCGTCTGTGTGAGCAGCCACGCTCCGCAGAGCCCGCCTCAGACCACGCACTCTACGGTCCAGAGAAGAGACGTGCTTTTTCTTGTATGCTTTTCAAACCCCCGCCCCACTCCTTACAGGTTAGTTTGCAAATGTATTGAAATAGCCAAAGCTAGGATCAGCTTGGCAGCAAGTGTCCCAAATAAGCAGATCTCTTCCTGCAATAACTCACTTCTTGTGTAAAACCAACTGGAAAAAAAGATAAACATTTCCACAAGCCCCCCGTGGTGGAAGTAGTGGAGCTGTTTCTTTAACTGCGAGAGGAGGGACTTCAGGATTTGAGTCAGTCAGAGGAGAGTGAATGACATGGAACGTGGGTATGGGGAGGGGGAACTGTGCCCAGTTCCCAATGGGGAGGTGGCCTAGACAGGAGCCCAAGTCAGGGGGAGCCGGGCCCTGCGCCTGTCCGGTGAGAGGGGTGGTGATGAGCCCAGCGCGATGCAGGCGGCCTCTGGGAACCCGGTGCTCCCACTCCATTCCCGAAGTCCTGGCAGCAGAGCTGGGTAGGTGGCCAGGTCACGTGCAAGAAGCACACCCAGAGGGGAATGTGAATAAACATTTCTTACACCCACGAGCCTTGTTTCGCCTGGTCTTAGCGGTGGGGGCAAGGGAGCTCCCGGTGATGTGATGGGCGTGGGACTGAGCCGTCGGGGCTTCCCGGTGCCTCCCAGTTAAGGGGGCGTCTGCTCTGAAGGCCCAGGATGTGCGGGCACTTACCCATGTCCACAGAGGCCCGAATGATTCTGATCTTACCGAGATTAGCAAAGTGAAGTTTTCAAACTCTCTTGTTGCTGGAAAAGCACAGAAGGCTGCGATGAGATTGTTAAATAGACCAGAGCCCTTACCTCTGTCACTGGACCAAGCGGGAAATGGCCCCTCCTCATGAGCAGGTGGACACAGGTGTTTCCATTTGAGTCTTAGGCCGAGACAGCCACATCCCACCCACTGCGGCCCTCACAGCGGCCGTGGCGGCCCTCATCCCTGCTGAGAGCGAACAGGGCTGACCCGCAGCGCGATGCAGGCGGCCTCTGGGAACCCGGTGCTCCCACTCCATTCCCCAAGTCCGGGCAGCAGAGCTGGGTAGGTGGCCAGGTCACGTGCAAGAAGCACACCCGGAGGGGAATGTGAATAAACATTTCTTACACCCACCAGCCTTGTTTCGTCTGTGTCTTAGCGGTGGGGGCACAGGAGCTCCCGGTGATGTGATGGGCGTGGGACTAGCCGTCGGGGCTTCCCGGTGCCTCCCAGTTAAGGGGGAGTCTGCTCTGAAGGCCCAGGATGTGCGGGCACTTACCCATGTCCACAGAGGCCCGAATGATTCTGATCTTACCGAGATTAGCAAAGTGGAGTTTTCAAACTCTCTTGTTGCTGGAAAAGCACAGAAGGCTGAGATGAGATCGTTAAATAGACCAGAGCCCTTACCTCTGTCACTGAACCAAGCAGGAAACGGCCCCTCCTCATGAGCAGGTGGACACAGGTGTCTCCATTTGAGTCTCAGGCGGAGACAGCCACATCCCACCCACTGCGGCCCTCACAGCAGCCGTGGTGGCCCTCATCCCTGCTGGGAGCGAACAGGGCTGACCCAAGAGTGGCCTGGCTCCCTTTCTCCGCAGAAGGCAGACCACACGTCTTGTAGATGTGCAGCAGTGATTGGAATAGAAAGAACACTGGCTGGGACTCGCTAAATCCTCCACTAACATGCCGACTGGCCTTGGCCAACCCTTTTCACCTCTCGGGCCTCGGTTTCCCCCGTTAAGTGGAATTAACAGAATTCCTCTCAGGATGAGTGTGATCACTGAAGCAAGAAAGATGGGGAAGTGCTCTTCAGATTACCAGTCACCCCACTCCGTGTTGAGTGCACTTCTCTACTACCGGGGGTGCCTCACAGTGAGAAAACCCCAGAGGAAGCACTGAGGAGACACCGCCCAGATTTCCTCCGGGGCAAGGCCAGTGCAGACCCAAAGCTTCTGTCTCAACTCCAGCTTCAGTGCTTGAGCCTTCAGGGGGCACCCTCCAGGTCAGAGAGACCCAGTCACGAGGAGCCATGCCCTGGAGGTCCCCCTGTATTACCACTCTCTCCCATCAGTCCTAGGGATTTCTTTTAGTTGTTAAAATATTTTTATTGAAATATAATTCACATCCCATAAAATTCCCCAATTCAAATGGTTTTTGGCATATTCATTATCAAGTTCATCACAATCTAAGTTCACAACATTTTCATCCCCCCCCCCCCAAAAAAATACATTTAGTCACTCTCCACCCCACCCAAACCCAGCCATACCCTAAGCAATCACTAACCAACTTTATGTCTTTATAGATTTCTCTTCTGGACATTTCATATAAATGGAATCATATAATGTTTTTTTTATTGTTTGTTTGGGGTTTTTTTAGTTGTTTTTTTTTTGTTGTTGTTATTGTTAATCCTTACCCAAGGATATTTTTCCATTGATCTTTTAGACAGAGTGGAAGAGAGAGGGAAAAAGAGAAAAACATCAGTGTGAGAGAAACACATACATTGGTTGCCTCCTGCACGTGCCCTGATCAAGGCCTGGGTGGGGGAGGATCCTGCAACCAAGGTACCTGCCCTTGACTGGAATGGAACCTGGGACCCTTAGGTCCTCAGGCCAACGCTCTATCCACTGAACCAAACCGGCTAGGACTTAGCATAAAGTTTTTTAAGATTCATTCATGTTTTAAGATGTATCTTTATCTCATTTTTCTGTGGCTGAATAATATTCCATTACATGGATATACTACATGTGTTTATTCATCTGTTGAGAGGCATTTGGGTTGTTTCTACTTTGTGCCTATAATGAATAATGCAGCTATTAACACTCATGTTACGTGGAGCCAGAGGAAGCACTGAGGAGACACCGCCCAGATTTCCTCCTGGGCAAGGCCAGTGCAGACCCAAAGCTTCTCTCTCAACTCCAGCTTCAGTGCTTGAGCCTGGAAGGTGCACCCTCCAGCTTAGAGAGTGTGGTGGCACCCGGAACAAGGAGGCCCTGGAGGTCCCCAGTATAACTGCTCTCTCCCATCAGTCCTAGGGATTTATTTTAGTTTTTTAAATATTTTTATTGAAATATAATTCAAATCCCATAAAATTCACCAATTCAAATGGTTTTTGGTATATTCATTATCAAGTTCATCACAATCTAAGTTCACAACATTTTCATCACCCCCACCCCCCAAAAATACATTTAGTCACTCTCCACCCCACCCAAACCCAGCCATACCCTAAGCAATCACTAACCAACTTTATGTCTTTATAGATTTCTCTTTTGGACATTTCATATAAATGGAATCATATAATGTTTTTATTGTTTGTTTGGGTTTTTTTTAGTTTTTTGTTTTTGTTGTTGTTGTTAATCCTTACCCAAGGATATTTTTCCATTGATTTTTTAGACCAGGGGTCCTCAAACTTTTTAAACAGGGGGCCAGTTCACTGTCCCTCAGACCATTGGAGGGATGGACTGTAGTAAAAAAAACTAAAAATATGAACAAATTCCTGTGCACACTGCACATATCTTATTTTGAAGTAAAAAAAAACAAAACGGGAACAAATACAATATTTGTATTTGCATGTGGCCCACGGGCCGTAGTTTGAGGACCCCTGTTTTAGACAGAGTGGAAGAGAGAGAAAAAGAGAGAAAAACATCGGTGTGAGAGAAACACATCAATTGGTTGCCTTCTGCACGTGCCCTGATCAAGGCCTGGGCAGGGGAGGAGCCTGCAACCAAGGTATGTGCCCTTGACTAGAATGGAACCTGGGACCCTTAGGTCCACAGGCCAACGCTCTATCCACTGAACCAAACCAGCTAGGGCTTAGCATAACATTTTTTAAGAGTCATTCATGTTTTAACATGTATCTTTATCTCATTTCTTTTTGTAGCTGAATAATATTCCATTACATGGATATACTACATGTGTTTATCTATTCATCTGTTGAGGGGCATTTGGGTTGCTTCTACTTTGTGCCTATAATGAATAATGCAGCTATAAACACTCATGTTACATGGGCATATATTTTCATTTCCCTTAGATATATACCTTGGGGTGGAATTGCAGGGTTAAATGGTAACTCAATATTTAACTTCTGGTTAAACTGTTTTCCAAAGGGGCTGCACCATTTTACATTCCCGCCAACGCTGTATGAGTGTTCTGACTTTCCATATCCTTGCCAACACTTGTTATTGTCTGTCTTTTTATTATAATCATCCATTTATTGTGGTTTTGATATGTATTTCTGTGGTGACTAATGGCATTGGGCCCGGCCGGACCCCACCCGTGCATGAATTCGTGCACTGGGCCTCTAGTTGAGGTATAATTGACAAATAAGTTATATCTATTTAAGTGTACAATGTGATGATTTGATATACATATACATTGTGAAATGATTTCCACAGTCAAGTTAATTAACCTACCTATCACATCACATAGCTTTCTCTAAAACTTAATTTCAAATGCTAGTGTGTAACACTTGTTATTGTCTGTCTTTTTATTATAATCATCCACTTATTATGGTTTTGATATGTATTTCTGTGGTGACTATGGCATTGGGCATTTTTATTTTTTCATGTAATTTTTGACCATTTGTTTGTATATCTTCTTTAGAAATGTCTATTTAAATGCTTTGCCTATTTTTCAATAAGAATGTTTTTGATTTTTTTTTTTTACTTTTAAGAGGTTTTTTTATATATATTCTGTATATCAGACCCTTACCAGATATATAAACTGAAAATATTTTTACCCATTCTGTGGGTCGCCTTTTACTTTTTTGATAGTGTCCTTTGAAGCACAAAGGATTTAATTTTGGTAAAATCTAATTTATCTATTTTTTTTCTTTTGTTGCTTTTTCTTTTGTGGTCAAATCTAAGAAACCATTGCCTAACCAAAGGTCATTAAGATTTATTTCTATGTTTCCTTCTAAATAGGTAGAGCTGCTATGTCTCCTGAAATTGGTAGAGTGACCTTGTACAGTAGGTGTTCTGTAGGACGCCATGGCTCAGCCTCCCCAGTCACCTGAGCTGATCACTCTAAGTGTGCCCCTGTGTGGGCTGGGTGCACAGTCTTGTTGTAGT